GCTGCTGTCACTTGCATGGGGGGGGAATGTCACTCTCAAGCTGATTCCATGTATGAGTTGTAGTGAATTAACTAAGAAAAGAGTCAGTCGCCACATAATTTTGCATCTGGGAGAAACTGACAGTTCTTGAACTGGTTATTTTCTTTGCTGTTGGATGTTGTGCCTCGCAAGACGAAAATAATTCGTTCCGCGAGTCCTGTTGTCTTGCGAAATTTTCGTCTTGTGGGGCACCTAAAAACTCGCAAGAGGCTTTCATCTTGCGGGTTTTCTGTTGCCCGAGGCATTCGTCTTGCGAGGTTCCATTGTAGCTGGCATCGCCTTAGGAGGAAGCATTCACTCAAAAGAGATGTTCCTTCTTGCTAAACTGCCTTTTTAAAATTAGTAGTCGCATTTAAAAATGAAGTTAAACAACAAACTATATTTTGGTGTTGGGCTCATGCAGCTTATTAAAGTGTTTAAAATTGTTTCGGCCATCTCAGCCTCCCCTCCCCCGAATGCATGCCAGGGGTGTTGGCCAGTCTTTTGGGTCTGAGTCCTGAGTTTGCATCTTGGGTGCCAGGTCCTGAGTCCCAAGCCCCAAGTCTTGAGTTCAAAACAAGCCTTCCCCCTACCCTGAAAAAAAGGGAGGGGTGGGTGGTTCTGAGTCAGGTCGGTCACTTGACAGCTTGACAGCAAGTCCTGTGGACTTGAGTCCACATCTCTGATGCACTTCCTCCAGAAGACCACTCTAATTCCCATAATCTATCGGGCTATGCTGGCTCAGGGGACCATGGGAGTTGTAGTCCATCACACTGGAGGCCATGAGGCTGGGGAAAGCTGATGGAACCAATGAACTGCTTCAGCATTGGGGGCCTGATCTAATACGTCTGACGCATTTCTATAAAACGATACTCCGGCCATCAGAGGAAGCCAGCCTTGCTTATTTTTTTAAATCATAATTCACAAACTTTTCTCTGTTTCCCTTTCAAGGGGGCAGCCGCTTCTCCCAGCTGGGCCCTCCCGTGGCAAATTACGCTGAGGTTTGGACTTTTTTTCACAACGGAAAACTAGTTAAAGTAATGAATTACTTTTCCACACTCTGAAAGAGGTGGAGAGGTGCGAGAGAGCGCTACAGCGCGGGAAAGCACGGGCGTGCAACCTGTTATGGGAGGTATGCACGCCATCCTAAGCGACATTTCACACCTTCTATTACAAAATGTTTGTGCAAAGCCATGCCTTCCAGCCCTGGGAAATCTCTCTGCTCTCCCAACAGCACAGCTTGGAAAAATGACTATCTTAGGGTTCTGGGAGACAGTGCAAATCGGCAACTTCCCCAAAGTTTGGCTAACCGTCCGCCGGCCAGGAAGGAAGTGGTTGAAGGGTGCAGAGAGAGGAGAAATCGAAAGGAGGAGTGGCAAGTTGAGAAAGTGACAAGTTGGTAGCAGGAGACGTAAACAGGTGGCACACGGCAGGCCTGCAGCCTTTGCCTGCCGATGGCACAGAACCCACAAACAAAAATAATTATTGAAAGCAGAAACCAGCGTCTCGACTCCGTTTGAACGCCCTCCTCGAATTAAGCAGCCCTACGTTTCACCTGACAAACAGGCATGCTAGCAAACCAGAATGATTATCCTCTCCCGGGGTTTAGGTGAGAAAGAGAATATTTCTCTCTTTGCTCTCTGCTAATTCTGTCCTCCATCCCTTCTCTTAACCCCCCCCGGGACCAAAAATTAAACCTTAGATCAGGGGTGAGTCTGCCCTCCGTGTGATGCTCGCCGACCACCTCCCGCAGCCCTCTTCCCAAGCAGAGCTGACGGCAGGGGATAGTGGGCACTGTAGTCCGCCTGGAGGGCCCACCTACCCCCCAATCTCTGCAAAATATCCTATTTCAAGAAATCATCGGCAAGAAGGCCCCCACGCAAGCGTGCCCGAAGGCTGCCGATCCAAAAGGTCTCCGGCATTCACCTGGAAGACACGGTCGAGGTTGGGGGGAGTCCCGGCGGGGGAGTAGATGGGTTCTAAGCTGGTGAATTCTTCGGCGAAGTTCCGCACGTCCAGCTCACTGCGGATCAGGGGCTTGAAGGGGGGTTTCACCCGGCGATCGGCTAGTTCGGTCCAGTCCAGGCCCTGGGAAGAGGAGTCCAGGTTAAAGGCAACGATAACAGATAGACGGCAACAACGTTAGCGGTCCTGCTCACTTCCTTCTCCTGGAATCGGAAGGGCTGACATGCTTGTAAGCAGGAATCGGACAGAATCGTGTCCTGGGCTGTCTTGTCTAGCCTTTCCTAACCTCCATGGAGGGAATGACAGGAGCTAAAGCCACTTTTAAACCGATTTGTGTCACAAGGGAACAGAAGGGCTGGGGGCAATAATGTGTTTGGCATTCTAGATGCTTTGGACTACAACAACCAGAATCCCCTGCCTGCATGGCCAATGACAAAGGACCACGTTGTCGTGGGCCATCAAGTTGGGACTGACTTATAGCGACCTTGGCGGGGCTCTTTCAAAGTAAGTGAGATATTTTAAGGAGTGGTTTTACCAGTTCCACTGTCCCAGTGAGTTTCTGTGGCTGAGCTGGGATTCGAACTCAGGTCTCCCGAGTCCTAGTCCGTCACTCTCTCCATGGCACGACCCCAGGAATCCCACAGGATGGGCAATTAGTATTTCTGGACGTCAGAGTACAGGGTTGTTGTTTTTTTGCTAGCCTGGAGAGGAGCGCTAAACTCAAGCCAAGGCTGTTGTGGGTCCAAAAAACCAAGATAGTGGACCTTCTTCTGAAAATGCCCTTCAGCTCAGACGGGAACGGAGCAAATAAGGGAAGAACTGTCACCAATCTTCTCAGTTTCATTTTCCGTCAGCAGGCAGGCATCAACCCTCAACTTCAAAAAACATCCTGTACGTTTCCAGGGCTTTCCTCTTCCAAAATAAAATAAACCAGGCCTCGTTTTGAAAAAGTAATAATTTTTTAAACTGCTTCTGGGAACTTCCTACCGCTCAAGGAAGCGACGAGTCTGAAACCACGCAACAGCCACAACTTCCCCAAATCTTGACTTCCACTACAACCAATGGGTGGGTGTTGTAATCCAACCCATTTAGACGGGAATGTTTTGTGTTAGACTAAAGGGGGGGTAAATCCAGTTTAAGAGGCAGTGTGTGTGTGGAAAGAAGACACCCCCCCCGAGGGGGCAGCAGGTCGGCCATCCTGGCGCACTCCGGCCACCTTCCGCACCCGGGAAAGAAGGACGCCAGACCTCACCGTGAAGAAGGGGTGGTCTTTGATCTCCTGGGCTCCCGTGGGCCCCGATCCAAGACGTTTCTTGGGATCCTTGCACAAGAGCTTCTGCAGCAGGTCGCGGGCCACGGGGCCGATGACGGACGGGAACGGAGGGTTGCATTTCAGGATCCGCCTAGAACCCAAACACGGAGTCGTCACGATGGGCAGCCCTCCAACCTCTCATTGATCTCAATGCCCGCGGGCCCCTGAATCTCCAGGGAAGATCCTTGGCGGCTCGTTCCAAGCTGCCAGGCGCTGACCCCTTCGAGCCTCGACCTCCGGTCAGCCCACCCTCCAGCCTTCGCCCTCCATCGCCCCCAGCCTCCCTCCCCTCCTTCTCCTCCCTCTGGCCCATGTGCCACTCTCACCTGGACACCTCAGCCTGCGAGTTCTTCTCGCCCTCCAGCGTGAAGGGGGACGCGCCCGTCAGCAGCTCAAACATCAGGATTCCCAAACTCCACCAATCCACAGACTATAAAAAATAAAAAAGCACAAAGCGCCATTTTTCATATTCTCCTTTTCCCTCTCTTTCTCTCTCGGAAACCACTTGAATTTCTGAGCCTTGCCTCGCCTGACATTGCCGTCCAGCCCCTTCTGTATAGCTTAGAGGTGCCACTGAATCACTGGTTCCCAACTTTGGGTCTCCAGGTGTTCTTGAACTACAACTCCCAGGAATCCTGGCCAGCACCACGAGTGGTGAAAAGACTTCTGGGAGTTGAAGTCCAGGAACATCTGGGAACTCCAGATCTACACGCCTGACCGTGTGTCTTATTGATTCTTCCAACTTACTGGAGCCATAATTAGCCATTTTGGAACCCAGAGCAGGTGGCACTATCTTCTACCCACGCCATCCTGCGTCGTGGGCAGAGTGTTGCCATTATATGCCACCAAGTATAAATCAGAGATAACTCACTAAGAATGAGTGATCTCCAAAATGTCCTCTCTGCTCAGCTTTCACAAACTTAAGGTCGTAGGGAGTCAAACCATCTCACATTGGGCCTTCCTCTTTTCCTCCTGCAATGTTTTCCCCTAGCACTGTCGTCTTTTCCAGTGAATGGGCAGAGGCCCCCATGGAAAAAAGAGGAGGAAAACGGAATGCAACCCCCCACAAAGAAAGAGAAAGTTTATGCTTTCAAAAAGGGGTAGTGAAGAGAGCTGCCAGGGGTTGCTGATTATTTTTCTAATGCTCCGCTACAGATTCACCTCTTGGTGCCCCGGTTGCCACACCCTAGTTTACTGGCCCTCCAACTTACAACTGCAAGCATTCTTGGACCACAGTGGTGCCTCGCTAGACAGTTACCCCGCATGACAGTTTTTTCGCTAGACGATGGCTTTTTGCAATCAATATAGCAATTTGCAAAACAGTGATTCCTATGGGGGAATTTTGCTGGACAATGTTTGGTCCCTGCTTCGCAAACTGATTTTTGCTAGACAACGATTTGGACAGCTCCCTCCGCGCTCGCAAAACGGGTGTTTTCGGGACCTAAGCTTCACAAGACAGTGATTTAAACAGCTGATCGGTGGTTCGCAAAGCGGCTTTCCTATGGCCGATCTTCGCTAGACAACGACGATTCTTCGCCATTAGAACACATTAAACAGGTTTCAATTCATTCCAATGGGGAAATGCTTGTCGCTAGACGATGATTTCGCTAAACAGCGATTTCCGTGGAACAGATTATCATCATCTAGTGAGGCACCACTGTATTTATTTCTTAAATGGATACACTGCCCCATTAATGCCATGCGGTATTCTGGACAGTTTACCTATAAGTTAAAACATATTCAAATATATTAAAGGAGCCGTTTAATACAGTACTGTACTTTGGGGTGGCTCAAAATCCTAAATAGCCAACACGTCGCTCACCCTGACATTACGAGCCGCTGGTGGTCTAAGACGGAGCCAGCAGGACAAAAGTGAGGAAGTGGGTGGAAAACCAACCGAAATAAATTTGCAAGACAAGACAGAGGGAAATGAAACAAGCCCGTTTTTACAGTTTTGTGGGATGCAGAATTCAGGTTTACCAAGTCGGGAAGAGGAAGCATCTCACATGCTGCCCCCGCAGAGAAACACAGGAGCATGAGTCGGCCCAGGCTTGAGTGCGAACAGTGCTACTCTCCCGAAAGGTCAGGACTGACCTTGCAAACAGAGAGGGGACCGGGGGGAGAAGGGAGTCCTGCCTAGGAGTCTTCCCGGGCAACCTTCTTGGGACGGTGCAGCTTGCCCAAGGCTACACAGGCTGGCTCTACTCCCAGGAGGCCCAGCGGGGATTCGAACCCCACCACTCCCAGGAGGCCCAGCGGGGATTCGAACTCCCCACCTCCGCAGCCAGAGATCTAAACTTCTGAGCTATCCAGCCAATTTTGAGGCCTCTTAAATGGAGACTCAACAGGAGTCCTTCCCTGTGCGGAAGGGGAAGGGGAGACACAAAGGAACATCAGGGTGTTTTCCCGGGCTCACGAAACCCATCCCACCTCCTCAGTGGAGTGTACTGGTAAGAGTCGGGTGGGGGATTTGGGAAGATCCACGTCTGGGTCCCTAGGGGGGGCTGTTCATTTCGAAGAGGTATCCATGCTGCGTCTGTTTCAACGTGTGAGAAAAACAAAACTAAAAGAGACGTCCCTCAATGTGAGGTAGTAGGGCTCCTAATTCACTTCCTTAAGATACACGAGGGACAATCATTAGGTCACAGGTTTATACATAACGTGGCTGAAATGGGGCAATTTCATCTTCTCCAAATTAGTTCAATACAGTGGTGCCTCGCTAGACAATGATAATCTGTTCCACTGAAATCGCTGTTTAGCGAAATAATTGTCTAGCAGAAAGCAAATCGTCTAGCGAAAATCAATTTGCGAAGCAGGGACCAAACATTATCCAGCAAAATTCCCCCATAGGAATCACTTTTTGCGAATCACTACAGCGATCGTAAAATGTCAATGTCTAGCAAAAAAACTGTCATAAGGGGTAACTGTCTAGCGAGGCACCACTGTATTCACTAGCAGATTCCAGTCAACCTACTCGCTATCCGTGATTTAATGCCCAACCAAATCTTTCCTTTTTCCATACGTCTTTTGATTTGATTGTAATGGCTTCATGGTTGAGTTTGCTTCTTTTAAAAAAGTAAATTGATCTTAAAAATCCATGACCACTGCCTAGCAGTGGAGAGGCAGGGCAGAAAAGCAACATAATACAGTATAACTATTGATACTATTAATGGCAGCTCCTTCCTTCCCTTCCCTTCCCTTCCCTTCCCTTCCTTCCTTCCTTCCTTCCTTCCCTCCTTCCTTCCCTTCCCTTCCTTCCTTCCTTCTTTCTATCCATCATTAGCTCTTTCCTTCCTTCCTTCCTTCCTTCCTTCCTTCCTTCCTTCCTTCCTTCCTTCCTTCTATCCATCATTAGCTCTTTCCTTCCTTCCTTCCTTCCTTCCTTCCTTCCTTCCTTCCTATACTACCCCAGTCATCAGCTCCCCCCTCCCTCCCAACCTCCCTTTACTATTACCATGTGAGGTCTTCATGATTTGTAAATTTTAATTTGTAAACGGCCCAGAGTTCATGCACTAATGGGCTAGTATGCAAATCTCATCCCATGCCATCCAGTTCAACCGCCCCCTCGTCCACCCCAGAACCCACCCCTCACCTTTCCGTGTCCGCTTTTGCTCCGTACAATCTCCGGGGCCATGTATTCAATCGTGCCACAAAAGGAGAAGGTCCGTTCCGTCTGCAGGGGGAGGAACAGAAAAGTGAAGAGAGGGAGAAAGCGAGAGAGAGAAAATACCTCCAGCTCACAATATCTTAGGATGTCTCCCTTTTTAGAGGGAGAAAGAGAGAGAGAGAGGGAGAATACATGCAACCCACAGTATCTTAGGATGTCCCCCTTTTGAACCTGTTCTTTTTCTAGTGCCTTAAAACAGCAGCTTTACAAGCAGGGGAGAAAACCCTGTGCAGATTCCACTAGGCCAGCGGTTCCCACGCTTGGGCCTCCAGATGTTCTTGGACTACGACTCCCAGAAATCCTGGCCAGCACAGCTGGTGGTGAAAGGGCTTCTGGGATTTGTAGTCCAAGAACATCTGGGGACCCGAGGCTGGGAGCCTCTGGCCTAGGAGAAAGCGGAAGAAGCAGGCAAGCTTGGTTTCCTTCCTAGTCAGCCGACTAAAGTCCTTATTGTAGAAAAAGAGGCAACCTTCGAGGGTAACGCGCTTCTCGGACTTCTTGAACAAAGGCCCGCTTTTGAGAAACAGAGACATCTCACTCCCTTACGCTCAAGCCTCTGGAAGGGGCCTTTCTGGATTGTTGGAAGGGGGTGGGCGTCTGTTACCGGCCTTGTCCTCTACCCTCCCGCTCGTTTTAGACACGGGAGACGGATCGGATGTGGAAGAGGGAACTATAGGGCTATTCACAGGTAAAGAACGATAACGGAAGATTAAAACAAGAAAAAAAGGAGAATCGCAGAGTCTGGCATTGTCGTTTCTCTTGGCTTTTCCAAGCCGTATGTAACAACACTCCCCACCCCTAAAGTATAAAACACATCATCCCTGAATTCCTGATTTCCCCCTAGGTGGAGACAACTGAAGAATCATAGCCCATTTCTCCTTCCGGAGAAGCTAACAAGCACAAATGTTGGTAAATCTTTAGGTTTGAGACCCAAGACTGAGTCCAAGTCCCGAGTTCGAGTCTCCGGCACCAAGTCCTGAATCTCAAGCCCCAAGTCCGACTTCCTATTAAAAACAAGCTTCTCCCCCTGGGAGAAAAAAAAAGGGAAGGGTGGGTTCCGAGTCGTGATTCGAATCTGAGTATTGGGGGGAGAGAAAGTCAAGTCACTGGTGCGACTCAAATCCGACTTGAGATCGAGTCCCGCAGCTCAAGCGCCCATCCCTGCTAAGAGGAAGAAGCGGACTTCCTCACGAATGCTAAGCCGGGATTCTGAAAAAAACGGAGTTCAGCTTCTCCCAAAAATCCTCAGCACAATCTACAGCGAACGACCAATGCAACATTTAGGAGGAAGGCGATACAGGAAGGGGGGTCCCCCCAGAAGGACCCCGAGACTCACATCCTCGGTCACAAACTCTTTGCTCAGCCCAAAGTCCGTGAGCACCACGTGGCCTTCGCTGTCCAGCAAGATGTTCTCCAGCTTCACATCCCGATAGATGATGCCAAGCTAAGGGCAAGAAATTCCAGATTTTAGGGTAAGATCTAAGCCTCCGTGTTCCCGTTCAGTCGATCTCCCCACAAACCTGGGCTTTCTCTCTACTTTTTTTCTTCCCAAAACAGCCAGTTCTCACGTTAATGTCCCCAGAGGATGCTGTGAAACTGTCATCCCGAAAAAGCAATTTTTTTCCAAACTTGTGCTGTTATTATGGTGTTGCTAAGCGCCGTCAAGTCTAGTGTCGCCTATGAATGCGTGATCTCCAAAACGGTTTGGTCCTCAACAGCCCCTGCTCAACTCCTGCAAACTCAATCCTGTGGCTTCCTTCAGAGCGTCCGTCCATCTCATATTTGGTCATTCCTCTTTTCCTGCTGCAAGACTGGCCTCCTACTTATTTCACCTAATATGAAGGGCAGAGCTAATTATCTCCTAATTATCATGGACGTTTTCTTTAAAAAAAAAGTAACACACCAAAAAAGTGTCTGACTTAAAGTATTAAAAATGCCTAACTCCATGCAACAGATTATTTTGTTTAATTTATTCAATTTTATTTATTTATTTATTTAATTTGCATCCTGCCTTTCCCTCATTCAAGTGATACAAGACAGTGTACAGCAATTAAAAAGACCCCCATGTATTTAAAACCACAAGAAATAAAGACATTAACATTAAAACACGATTAAACCAGAAGAGTGTTAAAACATCATTCCTTGAAAAAATTAACCTGATTTTAAAATACCTGATAATAATATACTGATGACGACGAATTGCTGAATAGCTCAGTGGTTTAGGTTTCTGGCTGTGGAGCCATTTCTTTCATTGGAAGTTTTTAAAAGAGGTTAGATGGCTACTTGATAGGGATGCATTTAATAGTGGATTTTGTGCTTTGACAGGATGTTAGCTTCAATGATCCAGAGGGTCCCTTCCAGCTCAACAGTTCTGAGATCATCATCATCATCATCATTATATCCTGCTTCCCCTTATTAAAAAATGCAACCCAAAGGGCATTAGGAGGTGAAAAACCCACTCCAGCTCTGCAGTTCTGAGATCATCATCATCATCATCACCATTATATCCTGCTTCCCTTTATTAAAAAATGCAACCCAAAGGGCATTCGGAGGTGAAAAACCCACATGAAAAGGTAGTGTTTCACCTGCTGGTGGAAGGACCACCAGGAAGGGTAAGCCCCATGAGGCAGGGAGTTCCATAGGCTAAAAGCCCCCCCACAAAAACGTGAGAAGGAAAGTTACTTTTCAAAAAAAAAGTTACAGATCTGGACTGAATTCACAGCATGGGGAAAGCCAGATTAACCCACTGCTCCTGATCTGATCTGAAATATAAGGAGCTGTCTTATACGGAATTCAACCCTTGTTCCATCTACCCCACTATCACCCAACTCTGACTGGCAGCGACAGCAGTCCACAGCTTCCAACAGGATTCTGTCCCGATTGGATCTCCGTGATATTCCCTGATGATTTCCCCTCCAAGGACCAACTAGATCTGACCTTGCTTAGCTTCCAAATCCAGACACGGTCTATGTGTTCAAGATCGACAGCTGCTATTTGCATCCAAAGGATTCCTGCCATCCTGATGCAAACAGCAGCCAGTGGTGCAGTGAGGAACTGCCTGATTTGCAAACCGGTCCTTTTAACAGAAGACACTGGATCCTGGACGGGTCCATGCCCTATTCCTGAGCTTGGGGAAGGGGAATCTCCCCACTCCACAACTTCCTTCCTTGCAGGTTGTAGAGTTTTCCCCGCCCGCTCTCTTCCCACCGTCTCACCTTGTGCAGGTGCTCGAGAGCCAAAATGATCTCTCCGCTATAAAACCGCACCTCCTCCTCAGAGAAGTGGTCCCGTTGGTACAGGTGCGTGAACAGCTCCCCACCACTCACGTAGTCTGGGAAAGAAGAGAGACACAGGAGAGGATTCGTTCAAGAGATCTGCTCCTCAGATATAACCAGGCCATTCCAAAATCCACTTCTAAAAGTTCCCTTCCAGGTTCACTTTTTTACACAGTTCCTCCCTGGGTTTGCACCCGGGGTGGGCCACTTTGCTGACTCCACCCCCCCGGGTTACAGCAAGATCAAACGGAGTTCCCATAATGAGCAGGAACAATTTTCTTGGTATCTCCTTCCCTGTTGAGGGAATTTCCTGTTTCCAAAGTTCTGGTCAATGAGCCTAGAAGGCAAAACAATGTTTCCTGAGCAAAAATCAGACCGCAAGATTCTAGTCCTCATTGCCACACAGAAAAGGCTAAGGAACATATAGTGTTTGACGCTAGATCAGGCTTTCTGCTGTGCTACTTCCCAGGAGACTCCGTCATGAAAACAATGCAACCCTGGAAGGATTTTATGCCTGCTTGCTCAGCAAATTGCCTCAAGTTAAGGAATCAGCACAACCCTGCAGCTGACTTTCTACATCATGCGATTCGGTGTGCAACGGATAATGTCTACCGTGATTTCTTAACTTTTGAGGGAATTCATCTCCCTTATAGGCATTACCCTTGTGGATGTAATTAGAAGGATTTTGGCCTATGGGAAGCTCTCTCTAACCTTTTTTTCTGAAGAGAAACAAAATTAATCCAAACCAGCTCCTCTCCATAATCACCACAGTTGACATAGTTCATGAATGCTGATGTTTACGCACCTCATAGGCTCTGTGACCCATATCCTTTGAAGTCTTTTATTAGGAATGGGCTGGTCCCAGACTATCCCCGGGGACCCCACCCGTCCACTCTTGGAGGGCCACAACCCCTCCTGTACTCCCATGAATCAAAGTATACCTGTTTAAAATACAGTAGGACCTCCATACTCATGGAATCGGTATCTGCAGTTTCACTTATCTGAGGTCTGAAAATATTAAAAAATTAATAGAAAAAAAACCCTAGAAATACATAATTTAATAATGTATTTACCAGAATTGGCCACTAGAGGGAGCCAGAGACCACACTGTACCTAGCATGACCTCTGGCTCCCTCTAGTGGCCAGTTATGTAATACATGGTGAAAAGATATTTTTCTGGAATTTTTTTTCTTTTACCATGCTACACATATTACCCATGGTTTTCAGCATCCATGGGGGGGCGGCTTGGAACCAATTCCCTACAGATACAGGGGTCCTACTGTAAATTAGACAGGGTTGAAGAACTTGTAATCTTTCTAATATTGCTGAGCAAAAATCCCCATAAACTGCTGCCAGTGTGGCCAAAGGTTGGGGATCATGGGAGTCGTATTCCTACCATCTCTGGAAGGTCACAAAAATGGATTAAACTTATTTAACAAAATAAAAACCAACATTCAGGAAGTGGACCAATTTCCGATTCCCATCTTTCTCTCCATTTCTGCGTGTCCTCCACACATCTCCCGGCGGGGGTCTCTTACCTAGGATAAGATGGAGTTTAGAGTCTGTCTGGAAGGCGTAGTGAAGGGTCACCAGGAAGGGCGACTGGCGCACATGTTCCAACACCGTCCGCTCCGTGCGCGTGTGCTCGGTTGTCTTAGCCTTGGCGACAATCGCAGCTTTGCGCAGCACCTTCATGGCATATAGCTTGTTCTTATCATGGCCGCTGAGTTTCCGCACCAGAAACACCTTGCCATAAGCTAGGGTTGACAAGACAGGCAGGTTTAAGATTTTGCCCCACGGGGGACTCCGCAGGCCCCAGCCCTCTGCTATTTCCAACTTTAATCCACCTATCTGCCATATCTGTAGTCTCTCTCTCTCTCTGCCCCTTCTCACTGTCGGTTGGGAAAACGATCGAACTTACATATTCAGGGCTGGCCCTATCATTAGGAAGAGCGAGGTAGCCTTCTGGGGTATCACAAAAGGGCTGGAAAATTGTTCATTATTTAATCTACAACTGTTTTGCAAAACAATTCAACTGATTTTAAGTGGGATGGACTTGCGTGTATGGCCGTGCATGCCATTTGCTATATTGGTCGGTATTATCTTATACCCCACTTTCGCCTAGCGGACGGAATATATATGCATTTTAAATATATATATAACCCAAGTAATACATAAGTATTTTGCTGTGTATTAGTAACACATGGCATAGATCTTGCCAAGAGGAATACAGAAATATAAATAAGGAAATACTATTTGTTTCCACCTGTATGGATCGCCAAACAGACCTCCTGTATGGAGAATTAGTGCGGGGAAATCGCCCCAGAGGGAGACCACAGCTGCGATACAAGGATATCTGCAAACAGGATCTGAAGGCCTTAGGAATGGACCTCAACCGATGGGAAACCCTGACATTGGAGCGTTCAGCCTGGATGCAGGCAGTGCATCACGGCCTCTCCCAATTTGAAGAGACCCTTGTCCAGCAGGCCGAGGCAAAGAGGCAGTCCCGAAAGCAGCAAAATCAGGGAGATGGACAGGGGACAGATTGGATTTGTCTTCAGTGTGGAAGGGGTAGTCACTCTCGAATTGGCCTTCTCAGCCACACTAGAAACTGTTCCAAGTCCTCCATGCAGAACACGATACCATAGTCTCTGGAGACTGAAGGATGCTTAGTACTATGTGTTTCCACCTAGTGGTCAATTCTGATATTGCATCTCTTGTATTTATCTTGTTTAAAACATTTATAGCCCACCCCAGATACTGTAGCAAGATCTCACGATGGGTTACAGAGTTGTATAAAACAATGTAAAAACATAAAATTCTTGAAAATAATCTAAAACATATAAAGATAAAATATTAAAACCACAATACTAAAATGTGCACAGGCCAAGGGTTTTAATGTGCTAAAATGATCCTAATATCCGTGTTAGAATAGCCTCCAAAGGTAGGGCATATAGGTATATATAATCCTGAAACTAAAAGTTCTGAACTATAATCCTGACAGAAGTAGCATTTAGCTCATTCAATCAGCCTGCTGCCTCTAAATGCAGACTTCATCAGTACAACATGCTAGAGGGAAGGGTGGGGGTTCCCGCTTGATGCTCAGAGCATTATATTATAAAAGGAACTCTTTCAGTTACTAATTACTTTTCATCAGCTAGGCTAGCATTATTATCGGTCTGCTTGCACAAGAAATTCATTGTGCTGGGTGTTAGTATCACATTGCACAGATCTTGTACAGAAATATATAAGGCAATACTATCTGTTTCCACCTAGTGGCTGGTTCTGATATTGCATCTTGATCATATAAACCAGTGGTTCTTAACCTTTGTTACTCCGATGCTTTTGAACTGCAACTCCCAGAAACCCCAGTCAGCACAGCTGGTGGTGAAGGCTTCTGGGAGTTGCAGTCCAAAACTCCTGAGTAACTCAAGGTTAAGAACCAGTGATATAAACATTCAAAAGATGGAAATCTCTAGTGGCCAGTTTTGGTGAATAAATCATGCAAATACTTGGGGCTTGGAACCAATCCCCTTCAGATATGGGAGCCCTACTGTGTCGCACTTAGTCTTTAAGATGCCACAACATTTTTTTGTTTTCATCTTCGTTGCCATGTTAATGCTTTAGGGCACTGAGCATCTTGCCCTTTGGGAGATTTCTTCCAAGGGGGGGGTCGTGCATACAACATCATGCGGAAAGCGTTTTCCAGAGGAGGAAAAAAATGAAAAAGAAGCATCCCTGAACAGCCGGCGCCGGCTCACCTCCAGTCCCGAGGACTTTCAGCAGTTCGAAGTTCTCCATACCCACTTTTTCCTCATGTCCGGTCAAGTTTGCTTTTGGGGAAAAGAAAAAAAAAGTACACAGTTTAAGCTAGGGGGGGCGGAGATTGCACTTTGGGGACACCCTGCCCCAAAAAGTCATTTCAGGAGGTCTTTCTCAGATTTTCACCCTTCTGTGTCTTTAAAAAAAGAGTCCCACTGGTCTGTTAGCAATCTAGCTCGCATTCCCTGCCACATTCCCGTTGCTTTCAATGGGATTTTCAGGGCAATCCTATGCATGTTTAACTCAAATGTCAGCCCCACTGAATTCAAAAGGGTTTAATTCCCAGGCATAATTACTAATAAAAGCAAAACAAGTGAATCCACCGGACTGTATGTATATATGTATGTATATATTTGTTGACCTTCTAATACCTCCCATCTGGCCACCAGGCCACTCTTGGGGGGGGTCTACAATAAAAAAACTAAGACACAAAATAAAGACACCCGTCAGATTACAACTATGAGTGTTAATAGTGTAACTCAAAATCAAGCAAAATCAAACCCAAACCGAAAACCAAAATCGAAATTACAACATATGCCGTAAAATAAAATGAGCTGTATTTCTGAAAGAAGAAAAAAACCCACTGAAATAATTTTCTTTTAGTCTTTAAAATGTCACCCTACTTCTGTTCATAATCCCGTTTGGTTTTTATAACCGCACTTCATGACAAACCCTACTTATTCCCCCTAGGGAATCTATCCCCCCCCCTTCGTTAGTTGAAGATCCATGGCTCCACCCTATTGCTTAATCAAGAAAATGATTCAGGCTGTATTTTACCCTAATTGCTCATAACGCCATTAAACCTTCACCCATCTTCTAGCAAAATGTATTCAAAAGCCTTGGGATGATTTATGCTTCTTTTATTCTTATTTCGTTTTGAAATGGCTTTTAATGAACCACAGCAGCTCAAAAGCAAGGCCAGAGGAACTCAAGGAGACCCCTAGAAATTCTTTAGAGGAATGCAAAATAAATAATGTTTATTTTAAGGAAACCAGGCTGCTCTTAGAAAAAGGTGACCCTTTTTTGGGTAGGGTTGGGTTAAAATAGACCCACTGGCCACGGACTTAGTTTTCGGCCCAAACCACCAACCTGTCCCGCCACAAAATGTCTACCTATTTTTCGAAGAATCATAGAATAGTGGTTTATTTTTTATCGATTTATTTTTATTTAAAATACTTTTGCCTCCCATTTCTCCTTGAAGAGGAGTCAAGAAGGCTTACATAATTAAAAAGACCGTGTCTACAGCCAAAAACAGTAACGATACAACTATTTAAAAGGACCAAAGAAATGGAGCACTAAACAACAATAACAACAACAACAACAACATCAAAAATACATCCAAAGCAGCAAGGCACATCCATCCATTTAAAAACCCCACTCAGGCAGGGAGTCACTAAGGGAAAGCCGGCCTGAAGAGAAAGGTCTTGGCCTGCTTGCGGAAGGAGAGCCAAGATGGGGCCAGCCTGGCCTCCAGTGGGAGGGAGTTCCACAGTCTGGGAGCCACCACCGAAAAGGCCCCTCTCCCCACCAAGCAGACTGGCAGTCAGTGGGGCTGCTGTAGCGGTGTGTGTTGTGTTATGGGATCCTTCTGACCCAATGGGGCCCAGGGAGGAAATAAGGAACAAGCAAGCTCCCTAGGACGATGACCCACTTTTCCTCTTCCTTCCCGGCACGTCATCCTCTTTTGCTGACGACACACCTCATTCCTCCACCCGCTTGCCCGCCGTTCCCGGGAGCAGAAGGTCCCGTTTCCGGTCAATGAGTCACAACCCGGACACGTCAAGAAGAAACGGGACGGGACTTGCCCACGGGTCTCCTTAGCCCGAGGGGGTGGCCCACGCTGGATAATTGGCCATTTGGAAATACCCTCGCGATGCCCGCCTGCAAGAGGGCATACCAGGCGGGCAACTTCGCGCCTCCGGATCTTC